GGCTGCTCTGCCCACCGCGGCCTTTGGTAAATTTTCAGTAGGTCAGTTTTAGGCAAGAAGCTTGGTTGAATTTGCCCACGGCTAGCTCAATGACTGCTGTGGCCAGTTGGGAAACATGTGCGATGGGTAGAACCGGGATAGCTGGAGCAGCTCCCGGTTAGGGGCCAAGAAAAAGCAGGGCAATGGGAACATCACAGTGCTATGGCCACCAGGCCAGCCGAGCTGGAAAGGTAAAGGGAACACTGGGTGAGCCAAGTCAGCTACGTGCTGTCCGGATGGTGCTGAGGGACAGCAGGAACCTGTGCTTGTGAACGGTTGCGAGAAACATGATGTCAACTGTGAAATAACAACTGATTCAGAAGTCCCCTTTTTCCATGCAGGTAATGCCACCAGTCCAGATGAGCAGATATAACACCAAGTCCAGGCAAGCCTAAGCGAGCACATCTCACGTTTGTAAGCACACAGAAGTACCAAGAAATTTGAATATCCTTTTATTTACAAATTGTAATGCACACGTCAAAACACAGCATAGCCACACAGCTCTAACTGTGATGACACTCATACTGTATTCGGCCATGAGACGTCGATGGGAAAGGCCACGTTTTGTGGAAAGACAAGTTCCAAAATTAACTACCCCGTACAGGGCTGTGAGCTGTGACAGCAGCCTCGACCGCCGGGAAAACGTAGGGACACCACAGAACTGACTACAACCAACTTGAGGGCAGTTAAGCAAAAACGGTCTCTGAACGGTCCCAAGATAAAAGCCACGCCACGCTTCTCTCCCCGCAAGCCGCTGTCGAGTTTTACACTTACGTGTCCCATTCCCCCCGAGGGACCTAAAGGACTGATGACTTAAGCGAGTTACTGAGCGCTCACAGAAGCCGTTTCACATGCCACCTGCATCACAGCTCAGTATTTTACGCTGATATTCTCCCTTCACCATTAGCAGCAGCCAGACATTCACCCAGCGCAGCCAGACAACGGGCCCAGTTAAACACCCGAAAGCCAACTGCCCAAAGACGGGGCGGGGGGAACGAAAGCATGGAAGGAAAAGGAACCTAACGCAGGGTCACACATGCTGCTGAGCATTAGCAAGGGTTTCGAAGGAACAGCTGAGAACATTTACACATTTAAACGTCGTATTTCTTGCACAGACATTTTCTTCACCGACGTTTTTGTCAAGGCAAAGGTGCTTTCCAATACAGATCAGGTAGCCCACCAAAACACGGCAAATTCAGCAGCTACCTACTCTCTTCACTATTCATTTAAAAAGCAAACCCTCAAGAGGGCAGCAGTTAGACAAAAGACAGCCCAGCTTCCTTCAAAATCCTCCAGACTAGCTTCTGCCCTTGTCACACACCAGTAACCAGTGTTTTTTTCTGAGCAGCCTCAGACAAGACCTGGCCCTGGGCCAGAAAGTCAACATTTCAGGAGCGGTTTTGCAGGCAAGGAATCCAGCAGCAATGGCAGCGCGAGCTCTGTCCTTGGACTGGACCCGAGCCACTTCCCGTGGCAGTCCGCTGCACTAACAAGAGAGTAAGGGATCTTCCTCTCTCCTGCGGAGACCTTGCAGCTTTAGCACCTGGCAACTCAGGTGGGTTGTTCCCACTGCTTCAGCCACCTGCATCGAGAGGAGAAAAGCAGAACCGTGTCATGGACAGGCTACCAAAACCACAGGAGGTACTCCCTGGTGATATGCTTCCTTTGTTTGGATTTATTACACGTCCTTACCTTGCTAAAGCTGTGCACTTACGCCGCTGTGCTTCACCGATGAGACAACTTTAGTAAGCTTTCTTTTTCCCCCACTTCTATTATCAGGATTGCTTCCCATTCCCAATGTTTTTTCTTCTTTCGTCCTAGTAGCATTAAGCCATCGCATCACGTGAATACAAGTGCCAAATACTCTCATATAGATTAAAAGCACATGCAGCATTTGTGCAGAGATTTCAGAATCAGCAGTTGCTCCCTCTCCTCAAAAAAGAAACACCAGAGCCCAAAAGAAAAAACTTAGGGTGCACATGTTGCACCCGCATGTTAACAGTATCGCCATGACACGCTCGCGGCTATCTGTAACAAACACCGAGTAAGGGAGGAGGGAGACTGCGGCGCCTGGTGGTCCCTGGGGCCACAGGAGGAATCCCCAGAGGGACAGGTACGGGATCACGTCCAGGCTGGCAGCACCAGGGTACCCAGAGCATTGAGTAAAGCCTGTCTATGCAGGGGACGCAGTTCCAATAGAGCCGGTGAGATTTTGGAGCACAGCTTCTGAAGACCCTTTCAGAGCCCCTTGTCTCCTTCCCTCTTTATTCTCCCCAACTTCTGCTCCCTCCGGAAGGTGCAGTCCTTCTGCCCAGCCTCAGTGAGGGAAGAGGGGTGATCATGAGAGTAAAAACCCTCAGCTAAGCACTGCAGTTCTCATTTTCAGGAGGATGAGACACTCCACACATACAGCAGACTCCCCGGAAGATGCTGAGCAGCAAGAGGTAACAATACCCCAACAGAAAAAAGCAAAACAACAAACAAAACCATACCATTTTTTCTACGAGGTTGTTTTTCAGACAAAATGACTTGGAGAACTGCATGTCTTCCAATGGGCAAGATGAGAAACTATTAAAACCACATTTAAAAGCCTCAGCTTAAAACAATCTAGAATGGTAAGTCACGATGCTAAGTGAAAGTACGAACAGTGTGGCAGAGTTCACACTTAGTACTTCAGTCTTAAGACTACAAGTCAACCACACAGCCAGGACTTTTCCTAAGCCTCCTTCTCTCCCAGACTCCTATCTCGTGCTTGGAGAGCACTGAGGTATTAACAGCTACCTTAAATAAATTTCGAATGCATGACGCAGTTACTAAAAATTTGCCCTAATGTTAAGCTTGACAGGCCCCCCCAAACGCTTTTCTCCCTCTTGCAAGTCCATTTTCTGTGATGCACTTGACAGTGCTGTACATACAACCCATTTTTTCCACTCCTCACGTGAAGGCAGCCACTTTCCCCTTTTTGTTATTCTATCAGCTTCCTCAACCCCCAACTTCATGAGCTGCTTAATTTCCAACACCAATGCCCAGCACAACCATTTGCCTGCCGCAGCCAGCTTCGGTATCTGTAAAGCAAGCTGTGTGCTGCCTCCGTAAGAAGTCTGTCCTAGCTAGGAGTCCTAATTGAGAACGTGAAGTGCAAAAGGATTTCCCCATTGCACCTCCCAACTAGGTAAGCGTTCATGAAACTATCCATTTGAAAGCCACCAGAAGGCTACACCGCAGAAATCGAAGCCTACCTTTTACAGGCAGGTGTGATCTCCTTCTCCGTAAGGCTAGTGCTCAACTCTGGGGAAACTGGCTTCTGACGCATCGGGCATCAAGGTCCCCGACAGCTGTAAATTGGGAAGGAAAAAAAAACACCCGAGAGAGGTCAATTTCCAAGTGTAGTATAAATAGAGAGAACAATCAGAAACTGCCTTCTAGGGACATACGCAATGCCGACGTGCAACTTAACACACATCTGTTCTTTGATCAACTCGGACTTCAGAAATGCTCCCCCTCCCAACAGTCTGCCAAATCTCAGCTGGAAGCAAGGCAGCCAAAGTGACTGCCTATGGAGTTACTTAACTCCCAAACAACATTTCAAATGTTACTGAGGAACTAATCTTTGAGAGAGTTGCAAGTTTTCCCCTTCTATGCCTGGCTCCTACGCTTTCTCCCTCCCTACTGCACTCAGCCCCTCAACTCCTAACACAGCCAGAACAGTTCTCCTCAAAACATGCGTGCCTCCTGGTCTCCCTTCAACTCTGGTAAATCAGGCTTACTTCCACCTTGATCCAGCCAGCTGAAAGAGCAACAATTCAGGTTGTCTGTCTTAGCAGCGAGAATCTAGTATTTAGCTAACCTCAGAGAGACAAATAGAGCCCCGCGTTTCATCCGTGACCCTTCTCTTTTCCCCCAGCATAAGGCCTCACGTCCTTCTACTTAGACAGTTAAGAAACCAAGGCAAGTTCTGCTTCTGTTAAGAGGCACCCTGGAAATTTGTGGGTCACACTGTTCACAAAGTCACGAACCAAACAAATACAGAGCAGCACAAACCGCTTTATTGCCTTGTTACCTGCTGTGAGGCCAGGCTTGGGTTATGGAGGTCAATAGCAGCAAGGGAGGGGACACGGGACTCTGAAACGGTTTTATTTTCCTTTTTCAGAAATCTGGGATGCCACGCTGCAAAACACAACCAATGCATACCGTGTTACGGAATCAAGAGCTGACTGCTCTAACGCACGCTGCTTCCCGCCACTTATTTAGGATCCAGGTTTTATTTAGAGGACATCGCAGCTCATACCTTCCACTCCTCTCAGTTCAGGGAGATGATTTAGTTCTGGCAAACGCACATCTGTCTTGGAGAATTCCCATTTTTTCCTATTTGCCTGAAGGATGTTTTTTTCATTAGTAACCTGTAATCAAGGGCATAAATACCAGCTCATGAAAATATAGGGGGGGGGAAGCTATTTTCAAGCTTAAAAATGCATCAACACAGCAATGTTCCGCTGTAGTTGGAACTTGTGCAAGAATAAAAAGACTCTAATGTGTGTGACGGAATCCATTCTGCTCAAGTGTCATTTATACATTAAAAACAACAGAACAGCCACAGCAAAAAACCCCCAATCATCTACGCGAGACTGCTTTCAGGGAGATAAAACACTTGGAGAATGGCT